CGCTCGGGGTCCCCACATTAAACCTGAACTCGTGGTGGGGGGGTAAATACAAAAAAAAATGAATGTCGAATGTTTTCTGTTTGGAAACGGCTTTTCCACTATTATCATCTAAGTACTAGCAAAGAACACTCTAACAGAAAAAAATGTGTTGGACTAGACAAGCGAAATACTACGTTGACCAGAAAGTCTTGATCTCTGTCTGGTGGAATTTCCCAGGGGTACTGCATTTCGAGCTTGTTCCACACAGTCGCGCCATCAATGCTCAAATGTATTGCCAGCAACTAGACCGCGTGTACGACAAACTAAAGAAGGTGTATCCTGCTTTGGTCAATCGATGTCGAGCTTTGTTTCAGCAAGACAATGAAAGGCCACACACTGCCAGGTTGACTAAAAAGAAGTCTAAACAGATGGACAGTGTTGAAATACTTCCACATCCACCATTCAGTCCCGATGCCGTACCGTGTGACTAGGCCTATTCCGCTCAATGGCACACTTCCTCCGCGACCAGCGATACAACACTTTTGATGAAATGAAGGAAGCTTGTTAACAGTTTTTTTCCCCATTATTCAAAGCCTGGTATCTGGGACAGATTTGGATGCTGGCTGATCGATATCGAGAATGATGAACTTTATTTTGAAGAATATATATTGGAGTTGCTACATAAAATTGTCTCGTTTTCTTTCCGCTTCCAAAGTGAGTCAGAAATTTCTGGCCAACCTAATATAAAGCTTTCTTAAGTGTCAGGTCTTTCTGGCCAACCTAATATAAAGTTTCCTAAGTGAGTCAGAACTTTCTGGCCAACCTAATAGAGCTTCCTAAGTAAGTCAGGACTTTCTGGCCAACTGAATATAAAGCTTCCTAAGTGAGTCAGAACTTTTTTGGCCAACCTAAAATAAAGGCAAATAACGAATTTAGACCAAGCAGGCAGATACGAAAAGGGCTATTTTATTGGTCGGGGATCTGGGAACGATCATTTTTTTTTTAATTATATGAATTAATAATTGTGTCTTCGATTTACACCATTTTAAATAGCGGTGAAAAAAATTGTAATTATCTCGATAACGTTTAGTTTCCTATTTTCTATTCTGTTCATGACAAACATTTGGAGAATGCTGTATGTAGGTGGCAACAGTTTAAATGCAAATATCAATGATACATTTTCCTAGAAAAGCAAAGTGAGTCATTTTATGGTTTATAAAAAAATTTGTTATTATTTAATCTTGTATTACTTCCCTTTTTAATAAAATCGTTCAATTTAAAAAAAAATCGTTAATGTTTTTATGAAGATTTTTGTTTGAATTACTGGGATAAGGAGTTAACATTATTTATATTCGGACAATTGTACTCATCTTTGTCGTTTTTATCACAACATTTCGGCTGTTGTGGTCTCCGGTCTTCCTCAGGTGTATATCGATCTGGGTAGCCTACCGTGAATTCCGAACGGAACCCTTTATTTAATTCCCTGTAAGTTACCCAGATTGATATAAACTTGCAGAAGGCCAGAAAGATGAACAGCCTTTTGTGATAAAAACAACAAAGATGAAGACAATAGTCCGAATATAGTGTAAATTGTTGTGATCAGATCTTTACGCAAAAATAGGTAGGTAATTGTTGTAACCTAGGTTACCGAATAGAATAATCACACGAAAGTTGGTAATGAACGATAATAGTTAGGACAAGAACAACGCATATAAGATTTGCCAGCGGCCCGTAGATGTAGTCAACTGTTAGGAGTGAGTCAAGTAAATTCCACAATGAATTTCCAACTGCAGGATATCTACCAACCGTCCCACGAGGTCAGATGTGGCACAAAGCCGAATTTAATGTGGGGTATCCGAGCTTGTAGGCTCGGCCCAAAATTCTCTGTAGATCCCGTATAAAACAAGGTCGGGTAGATGTTTCCCAAGACGAGACTCTGCCCTTCGACATAGCCTCGTCTCAGGATTCTCTCTGCCCGGAGGCAGAGTGTTTGACCAGCACAACTGGAAAGGAACCGCCATCTGCAGGATATCTACCAAGGGGTTCACGCGGTTAGATAAGGCACAGGGCCGAATTTAATGTGGGATATCCGAGACCGTAGACACGGACAAAAATTCCCCTTAGACCCTGTATAAAACAGGGTCGTGTAGCTGTTTCCCGAGACGAAACTCTTCCTTCGACAAAGCCTCGTCTGGGGATTCTCTCTGCCCAAAAGCAGAGACTTTGACCAGCACAGCTGGAGACGAATCTCCAACTTCAGGATATCTACCAACCGCCCCAAGCTGTCAGATGTGGCAAAAGGCCGAATTTAATGTGGGATATCTGAGCCCGTAGGCTCGGCCCAAATTTCTCCGTAGACCCCGTATGAAAATGTGATCGGATAGCTGTTTCCCAAAATGAGACTCTGCCCTTCGACATAGCCTTGTCTTGTGATCCTCTCTGTCCGAAGGCAGAGTGTTTGACCAGCACAACTGCAGACTAATCTCCAACTGCAGGATATCTACCAACGGCTCCACGCGGTTAATTGTTCGACAAGGCCGGATTTAATGTGGGGTATCCGAGCCCGTGGGCTCGGCCAAAATTTCTCCGTATAAAAACGAGATCGGGTAGCTGTTTCCCAAAATGAGACTCTGCCCTTCGACAAACCTTCGTCTGGGGATTCCCCTTGCTCGAAGGCAGAGTGTTTGATCAGCACAGCTGAAAACTAATCTCTAATTGCAGTATATGTACCAACCACCCCACGCGCTCAGATGTGGCAAAAGGCCGAATTTAATGTGGGATATCCGAGCCTGTATGCTCGGCCAAAAAATTCCCGTAGAACCCGTATAAAAACGAGATCGAGTAGCTGTTTCCCGAAACGAGACTATGTCCTTCGACATAGCCTCGTCTGGGGATCTTCTCTGCCCGGAGGCAGAGAGTTTGACCAGCACAATAGGAGATGAATCTTCAACTGCGGGACATCTACCAACGGCTCCACGTTTGAATTTGTCTCCAGAAAGAAATATTTAGGCATGGCCAGATGTATGTTGCATGCTCAAGAGTAAGAAATCCTAAGAAGTTATTCTTCGCCGTTTACAAAGAAAAAAAGAATTATTCTTAAAAGATATTGTTTACCATAATGTCCTATAAAATTAAATTAAATTAAAAGAAATTATTGAACCGCAAAGCTGGGTTTTTTGTCAAAGTATTTCTCCAAACAAATCAGCTTATTCAATTTTCATCGATTAGTTTGTGAAATTGAACGAAACGTAAAGTTTGTAAATCTCGACAAAAACTGTTACCAATAACTTCAATAATACTAAATATTGTGAGGTTTTCAACGCTCGTCAGCATGTTGCAAAAAACAATCTTTTGATTTAAAAAGTAGATGTGTTATATTTTTTTGTAAGAGACGTTCTTATTGTTTTTTTATTGTTTTAAAAGTAGTTTGAATGAAAATTAAATGTTTTTAGAGGTAGATTTTTATTACTTTAAAAAAATGTAACTATATCAAACGCATCATGACGTAAGAAGTCATGTAACACTAACATGTTATTACATGTTTGAAATAAAAATTATTTTTATAGTTATTTAAGAAAGCGGACTCTTATTATGTTGCAGCTTTGAAAAATTTATTGTATTTTTATCGAACACTGTCAGAAGACATGTTATCTTTAATAAAACTCTTGAATTCCAGTATTAAAAAGGGGACGTCTACTTAAATACGTGTATCCACGAAATATAACAATTAAAGTTATAAGCAATGATGTTGGATTATAAATAAATCGATTGTATTTATAAAAGGAATTGTATTTATGATTTATATATATGATTATATTTATGATCTATCTATCTATATATATATATATATATATATATATATATATATATATATGATTGTATTTATGATTTATAAATGGATTATATTTATGGAGTTAATGGATTGTATTTATAAATAAATACAATTCATTAACTCCTTAGGAATTACTTTGGTTACCTTTCGGGTACGAAAATAAAGGTTAGCACTTAGAAGGACCCCAACAAGAGGTGAGCTTTTCTTCAATAACGTAATTGAACTTTGCCTGACTGTGAAAGTCTTCTGTGGCCGAGCGGGCTCATCATTCTAAAGCACACCGAGCTTTACGGTGGCTTCCCCTACAATACAATTAAAATGTTGCTTTTAAATTTAAATAACGTTTTTGAAATTTTTAGTTACGTTTTTGAAAATTATAATTGTTTTTTAAATTTTTATTTTGCATTTTTTAAATTTTCAGTTTTCTGTTTTTAAATTAAAGTTTTTTTTTTCTTTTAAAATTAAATTGTTTTTAAATCTAGAATTTTGGTTTTAAAATGTCTTTTTTTTAATTTTTAAATTTGACTGATTCATTTTTTTACGGTTTGTCAATCCTTTACCACTTATTTTCTTCAAATTTATAAATTAAGAATAAATCAAACGCAGAGACGTGTTCATCACACTATCTTTAGTTTTAAAATTTTACCAAAACGACTTCAATTTTTTAATAATAGAAAAGGCCCCCCGCCCAAAAAAACATTCCCATTTTTAAGGTATATATATTTAAGTATATGATCTTCTGTAATGAAAATAGCGAGGGCTCCTCCTACGAAAAATTACCTTGAACCTTTTAGTAACACATCCCACCTTGCGATGAGCCATAGATCATGTGGTCCCTGCTCGAAAAGATTGCCCATAACTGACTCAAGTATAAACTAACGCTATAAATAACTTTAGAATCAGGTATATGTCTACCTAAAGACAAAACCTTATTGGTCGATTCGTTTTCTACGGCTTAGCAACCATTTGCAGGTTATTTAAAGCCAGGAAATATTTTTAGATTGTAAGAATTTTTTTTCTTGGAGATAATAAGGGTTTAGTGATACAAGTCTTAGTAATTAACCCATAGCTGGGGTGAGAAGAGGGTATTTGCGCGTAAGTGAATATAACGAACCCAACGGGATTTCGAACTCGGCTCTCCGATTAACAATTCCGAACCATTATCCATTACACCACCCGCACACCCAAGCTTACAGTACTTGGTATTCCGAAGCAATCACCCATCTAGATACTGACTGGGCTCGATGTTGCTTAACTTCGGTGATATTACGGGAACAGGTGTTTCAACGTGATGTGGCCGTAAGCCAAGAATTTTATCTGCGCTTAATTTTTTTTTTTTTAATTTAATTTTTAAATTTTTTTTTTTTTTTAATTTAATTTTTAAATTTTTTTTTTTTTTTTCATTTCAGAAGTTTGGGATCTTTTCAAGGATTAGACACAAATGGATTATCATTAGACATTCGGCTAAAGAAAATTATCCTCGATTTTTAAATCACATTCAGAGAGAGAAAAAGAAAGAGAAAGAGAGGGAGAAAAGGAAAGTGAGAGAGAGAGAGAAAGAGAGTGTGTGTGTGTGTGTGTGTGCGAGAGAGAGAGAGAGCGATAGTATGAATATTGTTATTAAACATACGAAGTATTACGACATTGTTATCATTCTCGGTTCTCTGCACGCCAATAAAAAGAAGCCTTTTATTTTATGAGACGCCGTGTATTCGAATAACACAAGAAAAGAAAAGAAAAGAAAAGAAAAGAAAAAAAAAAGAAAAGAAAAGAAAAGAAAAGAAAAGAAAAAAAAAAGAAAGGAAAAGAAAAAAAAAAGAAAAGAAAAAAAAAGAAAAGAAAAGAAAAGCTATTATCCAATCAATGGTGAAATCTCAAAACATGTTCAGACTTGTAACTGCGCTTACTCACACCGCCCACAGTTAGATATACAGCCACACGGACACAGACACACACAATACACGCGCGCACGCACGCAGAATACACACACATACATATATATATATATATATTTCTTATTACTATACACATTACTTTTAGTGGGTGCACATACTGGAGTTATAGATAGGTAGATAGATAGATAGATAGATAGATAGATAGATAGATAGATAGATATTAAATACGCATAGATAGATAGATAGATAGATAGATAGATGAGAGAGAGAGAGAGAGAGAGAGAGATTGAATATGCAAAGATAGATAGGTAGAGAGATATTAAATACGCATAGATAGATAGATAGATAGATAGATAGATAGATAGATAGATAGATAGATAGATATCAAATACGCATAGAGATAGTGGTTCAGCCCTGGTCTGAATTTTGAAAATGTAATATAATTTGCTTAACATTCAAGGGGCGACTGTGCCCACTAAAAAGCAACACACACCATCGAGAGTGGTGGCCTTCTGTTCATTATATCAGATGTGTTCCCAAAAGATGAATCTAGTGCCGAGGGTCTTTGGGGGGGGGGGAGCAGCATGTGCTCGTACAGATAAGAGTTTGACTCTCACTCGACTTTGTACCACATTAGGTTCGATTTGACGTTCGAATAAAATATCTACCCGATCTATTTTTTTATACTGATAATTTACCCAATACAAGGCCCAAGGGCCCCTCAAGGTAGAGTGTTCCTGGTTGAGATTTTAAGATGGGGAGGGGGTAGTAAGTGAGTATTACGAAGATGAGTAAGACAGATATTGGTTGACTCTCAACTTAAAGCAATCATTGATTGTATTTATCGATGAAGCATTCTCTTGGGAGTTTGTTCCACAAAGTAACAATTCTGGGAAAGAAGCAATCTCAGTGGAACATGCTTTGATCAAAGAAGCACGAAGGGAATGTTGCTGGTTTGCCGCCGTGAGCAGGGCACGGTGGAGCTCCGAGCTGGTTGAACTAAGGGATGTAATTCGTCCGGACATTATATCGGGATCAGAAAATTATCTTAAACTTTAATGATACGAACGTACAATGCTGGATTTAGGGCAAATGAAGGCCTCCTAAGTATGAGGCCTCTTACTTGGGACCTGAAGGAAGCAGGCCCGACATACCTAGTATACAAGCATGGAAGGAAGATGGAACCCCCTGGCCAATGAGGCTCTGTGCTTAAGCACTGAGAACGGCTTTAGAAGAAAATATTCTCTAATAGAAATGGAACATTTATTTTATTCGATTTTTATTGTTTGTTTGGGTTCAAGAGGGGGTAGAAAAATTTCCGTCCCCCCAGGCCTTATTAGGATCACCCCGTTTATAAATTACCCATTATTCTACAACAGGAGACAATAATTATTATAAATGGGGAATGTATTCACTGACTTTCATTCAACACGTGTCATATTGTAATATGAGGCGTGGTAAATGATTTTTCTTTTCTCGCATTGTTTAAAACCTGCTTTACATCATTCTTTAACACGAATTTAATTTTTAAAAAAATCCTTTAATTTAATTCTAAACTTTTGACCTTTTAAGTTCCGATTCCCTATTTTATTGAGACTCCTCACCGTTTATGAAGACAGTGAGAAAAATTGCGCGCCCCCATTAATATACAGACCCCCAACCCTTGAATTGGGCACCTAAGAGAAGGAATGTGTTACAGAAAATACAAGTTAGATTTTGTAAACAAGATAAAAAGAGAAAAAAGTCTGAGTCACCAGTTAAAGTTAAAAGCAACTTTCTTGTGTTGTTTTTTTATGTTATACTTCCTTATCAAACTTGTATTTTTCGGCACGATTTCATTTTTAAAAAACAGAAAAAATATCGGCATTGAATAAAAATCAGAGAAAATGTTCGCGAAAACAAAGGGCAAACTTCGTGTCATTTTCAAACGAGGCGCTAAAAAATATCAAATAAAAATGTAGACGGAGGCGAAATCAGCTGTTAAGGAAGGGGGCTAAACTGGATTAAATTAGATCTTCAAACGGGGGTTAAATTAGATATAAACTTTTCCGCATATATATATATATATATATATATATATATATATATATATATATATATATATATATATATGTATGTATATATATATGCATATATATATATATATATATATATATATATATATAGAGAGAGAGCGAGGAGGAGAGAGAGAGATGTGACCTGATGAACGATGAAAATATATTTTCTGGGGAAATAAATTATAGTCATGGAACCTTAGGTTGTTTCTTTCTTAATTATTTAATTAAGATTTACTTAAGATTATATTGAGCTCTCTGGATTACGTCCTCTTTGGAATTACCCACATGAATTAGCAAACCCTTCATTACCTTAGCAAACCCTTCATTACCTAACTATATATATATATATATATATATATATATATATATATATATATATATATATAAAAAAGAAGGTAGTTTAAAAGCATTAATTCGACTTTGCTAACCAGTCGCTTCCTCTGTAGCTAAATAGTATAGCACGTTAGGCTATATAACAGTTCCGTGTAGGATAGAGGTTCTATGTAATTTCCCGGACATTCAGGCCAGAAAATCTTGTTAATACTGTTTATTATAAACAATGCATTTATATATATATATATATATATATATATATATATATATATATATATATATATATATATATATATATATATAAAAGAAGGTAGTTTAAAAGCATTAATTCGACTTTTTGCTAACCAGTCGCTTCCTCTGTAGCTAAATAGTATAGCACGTTAGGCTATATAACAGTTCCGTGTAGGTTCTATGTAATTTCCCGGACATTCAGGCCAGAAAATCTTGTTAATACTGTTTATTATAAACAATGCATTTATATATATATATATATATATATATATATATATATATATATATATATATATATATATATATATATATATATATATATATATATATATAATATATATATATATATATATATATATATATATATATATATATATATTATGTAATATATATAAACATATGCGTGTGTGTTGGTGTCCAATAGGACGCCCACCACCACTTTGCATCAGGTGTTGCGATTGTAATGTTTTTATTTTTCGATAATTTCTCAAGTGCTTTAACATGTCTCCGTGTTAGGGTTGAAGCATTTGAGAAATTATCAGATCCAGATACTCCTTAAACACACACACACACACACACACACACACACACACACACACACACACACACACACACACACACACACACACACACACATATATATATATATATATATATATATATATATATATATATATATATATATATATATATATATATATATATACAGTTCAAAAGTTTGAGGACACCGTGGTATTTTCTTATATTGGCCTAAACAGTATTTGTTGGTGTTAAACAATAGAAAATTATTGCCCATGGTTAAAAAAAAATGTGAGATGGTTTATTAGAAATTTTATTATGACGTAAAGAAAAAAAATTATGATTAAATTTTGCTCTCATCAAAATATCTTCTCTTAGTCTTGATTACTGTTGCACGGATTCTTGGCATTCGTTGCAAGAGTTACTAAAATATAAGTTTCATAATGCATTCCATTCTTTTTACGATGACTCTAAGAACTCGTTTACATTATTTTTTTTTCTCATTCTTCTGTCAAGTTCATCCCATGCTAAATTTGGGGTGGGTTCAAACTTTTGAACTGTAATGTATATATATATATATATATATATATATATATATATATATATATATATATATATATAAATTCAATTTAAATAGAAAACAGATAACCTTAGTCGAGGAATCTAATTACAATAAAACAACAAATATTAATATACAAGCCAGTGTATCTGAAAATTTTAATATATACCCGGATATAAGAGAGTTGTCGGGACCGGAGAAGAAGTCTCTTATATCTGGGTTTGGTCTATTTTGTTTGCATTAACACAGGCTCTAATTTTGGACCAGAGAAAATCTCTCTTATATCCGGGTTTCTCTTATATCCGGGTCTCTTATATCCGAGTTACACTGTACATTTTATTGCTCAAAACATATATATCATAAAAATATTGTTTTAAGGCATAATATATTTATGGGTTAATGTGCTCTATATTAGAAATAGAGTTTGTGTGTAAATACAATTCACGATTGCCTTTATGAAACAGTCTGTCTCCTCTGTGTGTTGACTCTATGGAACACTTTGCACACACACACACACACACACACATACACACATACATACATATATATATATATATATATATATATATATATATATATATATATAATTTAGATGAAAATTATAAAGCTTTGTTAAATAGCATTGTCATAGTTTTAGCTTTTTGTTTATTATTCAACCCACGTCCGTCCGTCTTGTCGTCGATTTTTCTTTTATATTTCATAAAGTTAAATAAAACCTCTGAAATTTTTAATGTATGATAACTAAAACCGGCCACTGAATTACGAATATATTAACAAGAAACAGAATTGTGTATATTAATAAATATTTCTCTTTTGCTCCTCTTGAAGCCTTCTGATAAAAAATAAAAAAAACACCTAAAGATTTGATCGATCTAAATGAATTTTGAAAGCTAAAATACTCTACTTCTATTTTAAACTAAATCAATGGTTTTTAGTGTTCAAAATATGATCCCCAGAATCGAGTAGTATTTGGTTATGAGTTGTAGCGATTGTATTTCTTGAGAAAGGACAGTACTACATAATCTATTTTTAAACACTAAACCTCTACTTTACTATGAAAATCTGAGGCAAACATGATTCATATAAAAATAGGATGCGAGGTAATTTTTTAAACACTGGAACCGTTATTTTAGCATGAAAATGTGAAGCAGGTATGTTTCCTTTTTAGAATAAAACATATGATTTAGTATGACGTTGTGAGCCATGCTAAATAATTTGACACTAAAATTGTTGATTTAGTATAAAAATATGAGACGAGGTAAATTTTTAAACATTCGGGTCAGTTTTTTTTACGATTATTTTCTAGACGTAGTTTAGATGTGGCACAATGCTGAAAGTATGCAGCACCCTTTGAGGCCCGAACTCACTTCCCTGTCGTAAATATTTTAGCGAGACATGCTTGCTAATCATTACAGCACGTCAAGGTCAGTTTTTTTTGTTTTTTTGTTTTTTTTTTAAGATTAAAAATTTTGATTTAGTATTGAATTGTGAGTCGAGGTAAATATTTTATCGCTAAAACTCTTCATTTAATAAGAAAATATGAAGTTATGTAAATTTTTAAACACGAAGACATTTTGTATTAAAATGGCAGGCAAGTAATTTTTTTTAAAAAAGAATCTGATATATTATGAAAATAAGAGTGGTAAATTTTTAAACGCAAAACCCTTTTATTATTGCTATTACTAGTTTCTGCTGCCTAAGAAAATATAAAGGTTGGTTGAAACGATTATCGAGATCTGCGAATTCTTTCGACACGAAGGAATGTTTACTGAGCAGACGTAACTATGATGTTAGCAAATGTTTACAAAGTTCCATCAGTAAATCTGTAGCCCGACACACGAATTTTGAAAGTTAAAATACTCTGCTTCTATATTAAACTAAATCAATGGTTTTTAGTGTTCAAAATATTATCCATTTGCCCCAGAATCGAGTAGTATTTGGTTATGAGTTGTAGCGATTGTATTTCTTGAGAAAGGACAGTACTACATAATCAATTTTTAACTGAATTTTGTTCTGAAACTTTCACTGTATAATATTTGATCTCTGCTATAAATATTCACCACTGAATTCAGTTCTTTGATAAGGACCGAGATTATGATGAAAAATGAATGTCTGTTGGACAGTAGCGAGCAGAAGTGGGCGAGAACAGGGATTACCACGGCCCCATATCGGGTGGTGGTGATGGGGAGGGGGGTCGCATCCTTTCAAAGGGAGAAATAAAAATTTAGTTTCAATTTAATTAGAATAAAGCGTTTATTTCATCTTTCACCTGTTTGTACATATTTAAAATGTCTTCCTTTCTCACATTTCTCAGTACTAGGCCCGATGACTACACTTACGGGCATACAATGAAGGATTTAGCGGTTAACCCCGGGCGTCACCAAACATCAACAAACCTCTGCACGTCACTGCTGTTGGGTAAAATAAATAGTATGTAAACATTCAGGCACACACACACACACACACACACACACACACACACACACACACACACACACATATATATATATATATATATATATATATATAACAAGGCTATTTCATGCTGGACACAATCGTCGGCCTGACGATTGTGTCCAGCATGAAACAGCCTGTCGCTTTTTAAGTGTTGACCTCAATGTTCACTTTTATATTTACATAAGCTCTATCTCTGATATTGAGCACTTTATCCCATAAATATAGCACACCCAAAAACTATATTTCTTCATATATATATATATATATATATATATATATATATATATATATATATATATATATATATATATATATATATATATATATATATATATATATATATATATATATATATATATATATATATATATATATATATATATATATATATATATATATATATATATATATATATATATATATATATATATATATATATATATATATATATATATATATATATATATATATATATATATATATAGCAAGTGGGTCAAACAGCAAAATTGTCCAAATCGTGTAACAACAGCATGAGATAATTGTACATCCCACAAATTATTTAATATCTAAAAAAAAAAAAACTAAAGTAACTAAGTTTCGTTTTTTCCGTCTTGACACCATTTTGTCGTAAGAATCACTGAAAAAACCCTTTGAGTTATTCAGCTAGAAAAAGAACAGGTTAAAATCGTCTTGTTGTCATCCCCACTATGTCTTCCCAGGTGAGCAATGATGAGAGGAAAAAGATCATTCAGGCCTTCAATAATGGTACCAACATTCATATTCTGGTTTCAAAGTCCATTCAAGAATCATCAAGAGAACGGTAAATAATTTTAAAAAAGAGGAAACATTAGAGGGAAAAATTTGATCAGGAATACTCTTATTCTTAGTACTAGGCTCTATAGGCCACCCTTCTTGAGGAACATGCTATGAAGGATTTAGCGCTGGACATACCCAAAACCTGTGCACGTCACTGGGAGCACCAAACCAAATGTGGCAGAAATATTCAAAGCATGGACGAATGGCAGATATATATATATATATATATATATATATATATATATATGTAAGGTAAAGTCTGATGAATTGTCAAAAAATAAAAAAAAACAAATAGTTGATGTTACTGGTACTGAAATAACAATTAAATCTAGTGCTGACCAAATTTTTAGAACTCCATTTATAATAAGAAAAGAAACTTTCACATCTCAATATTTCAAATGGAAATTCCATAATAAATCAGTCATCTTGCGGCAGGTTAATAACCCTTTTAAATCCAACAATGTAACATTCTCCTTTCGAAGAATAAGTCCCGGATGAAGATCCAGTGCCTTCGTTAATCAGTGGGAGATAATGTCTTCCAGCGGGTATTTTCTGTACGCCTAATAATGGTAGATCGGGGCATGTCAAATAGCCTTGTAATTGTATCATTCTTTGTTTGAAATCCGTTAATTAACGTCGATTTGCATGTGAGCCAGTTTTCGCACTGACTCACCAGCTGTCAGGGCGCAATTTGTATGGGTATATCTATGACGTCAAGGTAATTTGGTGCCACTTACCATTGCCTTTGTATACTTCTCTTTTGGCACGTCTGTGTCGTAAATGTTACGACACAGACGTAAAAATAAATAAGTAGTTTGGTGTATGCCGTAAGAAATGTCTTTCTGTTTTTTATCGACAGGAAATATCATTAAAATAATTTAAGCACATCTTAATATTCAAATAAGCACCTATAATAACATTACACATGTGCAAAAATATATGTGTCCCTTTGTACTTACATAGATAAGAAAAGGCTGTGTTAATCGTTCTCTAACGATAAGGAAAGTGATTAAAAGGTAGGCAGCTATGAACTATGATAGATAGATAGATAGATAGATAGATAGATAGATAGATAGATAGATAGATAGATCAAAAGGTAGACAGCTATGAACTATGATAGATAGATAGATAGATAGATCAAAAGGTAGACAGCTATGAACTATGATAGATAGATAGATAGATAGATAGATCAAAAGGTAGACAGCTATGAACTGTGATAGATAGATAGATAAATAGATAGATAGATAGATCAAAAGGTAGACAGCTATGAATTATGATAGATAGATAGATAGATAGATAGATAGATAGATAGATAGATAGATCAAAAGGTAGACAGCTATGAATTGCGATAGATAGATAGATAGATAGATCAAAAGGTCGACAGCTATGATCTGTGATAGATAGATAGATAGATAGATAGATAGATAGATAGATAGATAGATAGATCAAAAGGTAGACAGCTATGAATTGTGATAGATAGATCAAAAGGTCGACAGCTATGATCTGTGATAGATAGATAGATAGATAGATAGATAGATAGATAGATAGATAGATCAAAAGGTAGACAGCTATGAATTGCGATAGATAGATAGATAGATAGATCAAAAGGTCGACAGCTATGATCTGTGATAGATAGATAGATAGATAGATAGATAGATAGATCAAAAGGTAGACAGCTATGAATTGTGATAGATAGATCAAAAGGTCGACAGCTATGATCTGTGATAGATAGATAGATAGATAGATAGATAGATAGATATGAATCGTGATAGATAGATAGATAGATAGATAGATAGATAGATAGATAGATAGAACTAAGTCAACTGTCATAGATAGATAGATAGATAGATAGATAGATAGATCTAAGTCAACTGTCATAGATAGATAGATAGATAGATAGATAGATAGATAGATAGATAGATAGATATGAGTAAAGTGTCATAGCCAGAATAAAAGCGGTAGATAGAATGTAAGTATAAAGATGTAACATTGGAAGAGAATGACAAGATAAAGGATAAAAGATCATTGGAAAAGCAAAAGACGCCTTCCATTAACTCAACCAAGTACTAAGAGGTGAATTTCCTTAGAAACAAGAATGTGTACTGAAAAGTTATGTAATGTCGTTCTTCCTAAATGGCAATGAATGCTGGACAATTTCCTCACGGATGAAGAGAAAACGTGATGCAATAAAAATTTGGCTCTACAGAAGGATGATGAGAATACGATAGACAGAGAGAGTAAGAAGAGGTATTAAAGAAAATGGAAACAAAGCAAACACTTATACACAAAATCAGAATGAGATAGCTGATACCACTGGGATTCATAATTAGGAATCCATCTATTCTCCGACCCCCCAGCTATGGGTAAATAGCAAGACAGACCGAGTAGCAACCAGTGTAGAAGAAGGACAATGTTTATCAAAAACCGTATGTAACCCTGGCGAAGTACGTACAATGCAGCTAAGGAAAGGAGCGTGCAGTTTACAATGACTCTGTGATCACAATTGCTGAGAAAAGAGGGTTTGAAGACTATAACACTCACATGTGTGGATGGACGGCGGAAAGGAGATTGGAGAATGGTACAAAGACAAACGTTACGAAGTTCTACAATGAATAGGAAGTTGGGGAGACCCACGATCGGCAATGTCCTGAAAGAAGACGTAATAGTAGTAGTGTTTATTTATGTACGGGTTGGTCCGAAAGTCACCTATACGTAATATAATTTTCTAGAGGCCGCTTGCTAGTGCATGTACCTTACTCTTTTTGAGTAAGTTCACGTCTACTTATCATCTCTCAGTCGCGTCTCTGTCATTGGGCAGAGTGCGCTCAGGGACTTCTCTGTCAAAGGACAGAGAGGCAACTGAGGAAAATAATACTGAAGAGGTGTCTAGCCCTGGGGAAACAGCTGCCCGAGGCCGCTCCCTGCTATTGCACCAGAGGGAGGGATCGGTGCTCGCACCGAGGCCAGCGCAACCGACGGTTGTGGGACGCTGAAGGGAATTTTTATTCCTGTCCCGGGCGTACGCGCTCGGGTCTCCACCTAAAAATAGACCTTGTATCACATCTCGTCCAAGTGTGTGTGCGTGGGGGGGGGCAGAGTAAATACCGCGTATGAACATGATCGTGTAAATAAACTGAATCTAGTACATGTGCTTTGTATTACTGTATTACTTGTTGTTCTATTGTTCTCACTACGTTCTGGTAGGGGATGACAAGACAATCGGACCGGCCTGTATACCGGATGTAACAGCGAAATTGTCCAAACAGCATGGGATCATTGTTCATTCCCACAAAATGTTTAATATCTAAAAAACAACTAAACTAATTGAATTTCTTTTTTCCCAGATTTTCAGACGTTTAGCCATCTTGATGGCAATTGTTGTGAGAATCATTGAAAACTCTTTGAGTTATTCAGCTAGAAAAAAAAACAAGTTAAAATCGTTTTGTGTCAGCCTAACTATGTCTTCCCAACTGAGCAATGATAAGAGGAAAAAGATCATTAACGCCTTCAGTAATGGCACCAACATTCATACTTTGGCTTCCATCTTCAAGAACAATGAAGAGAACGGTGAATAAGTTTAAAAAAGAGGGGACATTAGAAAGGAAAACTGGATCAGGAGGTCACAACAGAAAAAGGGATCATCATTTCAACTTAGAGCTAAATACATTTTTATTGTTCAAAGTAGAGTTCAATAGTGTTATAAGAAAATTCGGGGAATTCCAGTAATATATCTTTAATCATTTCTAAGATACAACGGTTGAAAGCTTAATCTAACAATTGGACAATTTTGCTGTTACACGATTTGGACAATTTTGCTGTTACATACGGTATATACATAAAGTAAATTTATTTAAAATGGACGGAACATTTCTTTCGTAAATCTGAAAAAAAAAAAAAAAATAAATAGATAAATAAATAAAAAAAATCTTCGTAATAAATTTCTTGGAATTCTCATGTCCTTCCCGAAAACCAGTTTAGACATGGATATTATATCTGCAGCAGCCTACGTCGTGCTATTTTCAGTAATCCCCACCCACTGACACCAATTTCCAATGACGTCCTGAACATGTTGAGACTTGCCCACAATCTAAATTATTGTCACACAGAGCAAGTTGCGTAAAACTGCGCACTTCAAAATGGAATTCCAAAAACAGACACACCTAGCCTTGACATTCCTATCCACCCAACACATCCACCTCAAATACACGCATGCACAGGTAGTGTTTTCATATAATACAGTGGTGGATTCTAAGTTTAGTTTAAGTCTGACACAAGGACGTGCTAAAGGCGTTTCCTTTTTCATAGTTCTTTTAATGCACGCAAAATGTATAATCCCAACCACCCTCCTGAACAAAGAGACACCTACATAGCATTTTACTAAGCGTAATTTAGATGTGGCACAAGGCCGAAATTATGGAGCGCCTAATGGGTATTTAATTCACTATTGAATAGTAATTGATCTAGCGATAAGAAGCTTGTAAATCTTTGCACCACACCGAAGTGCCCCATATACATATATATATATATATATATATATATATATATATAAAGACATTTTTATGTTTATACATTCTTTTTATAGATACAATTATTTAAGTAAATGCTCTGTTTATAATAAGCAGTATTAAACATTTACCGGCCTGAGAAATTTTCATAGAAAATATTCGTCCTCCGACAGTAATCGAACCTGTATCCTATACGGAACTGTCATATAGCCTGTGGTGCCTTAACCGATTGAGCCACAGAGGAGCATTCGGTTAGCAAAGGTCAATTTTACTGCTTTTAAATTACAATCTTCCTTGCTAACCGAACGATCTTCTGTGGCCGAATCGGTTATGGCATGTCAGGCTATATATATATATATATAAAAAAAAAAGTTAAAATCGTTTTGTGTCAGCCTAACTATGTCTTCCCAACTGAGCAATGATAAGAGGAAAAAGATCATTAACGCCTTCAGTAATGGCACCAACATTCATACTTTGGCTTCCATCTTCAAGAACAATGAAGAGAACGGTGAATAAGTTTAAAAAAGAGGTCCGCGGTCTATATAATAAGTTTAAAAAAGTGCTCCGCGGTCTTTGAAAGAAGTAGGTGTTTAACTGTTGTTTCGCTTTCCGCTCACTTCTAAAGTCTTTACATTCTCTTACATTAAAGGTAGTCCCTTCTGTCTTATTGGTATTATCGTTTTGCTTAGGATGAATTTATATATATATATATATATATATATATATATATATATATATATATATATATATATATATATATATGACTAGCTATCATAAAAGAAATAGATAAATAACCATGAGCAGACAGGATATATATACGTATATATATATATATATATATATATATATATATATATATATATATATATATATATATATATATGTGGGTAGCAACCTTTCTTTTAAACATCTGTCAGTGAATACAGCACACAGGAAATTTTTAATTATTTTTTTTTATTTAGTTTTTTCCGGCATCCTTCCGTTTTTCCGTTTTGTAGTATGATATATACATAACGTCACAAAATACGAACAGACTTGCATAGGTATAAACAGCTTGTCATATATATATATATATATATATATAAAAACAGAATAAGATAAATATGAGCAGAGTAGATCACGGAAATATAGTGGTATCTCTAATGGAGAAAGTGAATGTGTAGGTTCAATTCCTGTTGAGAGTAAAGATTTTTCTTTAATAAAGATTTCTGAATTCCTAAACTGGTTGCATTTCTCCAACGTCTAAACTTCATTCCGAACTGAAGAATCCGAAACCAACAGATGTAGGAGAAATGCGTCGTTTCTATGCTTTTCCACATCACACACACACACATATATATATATATATATAAATATATGATAATATATTTTATTTTTCAACCCTACAGATTCTTATCACTTTAAACGTTATTTTTAGTGGACGCGCTATTTATTTATTTAAGCAAATATTTGAGAAATCTTAAAGAAAAAGTGTTTCTTGGCAGGATTTGAACTGGCATTCCTCGGGATAGAAGGAATCTGTTGTTAGATCCATAGTAGCTTAGGCGAATCGACCGCGGAGCAGCCATACCACCCAGCAAATTTTGAAACACGCCTTTAAACGAAATCTTTCTCGTATTAAAATGAAAATTTCGAGGAATTTATATTTTTACTTAGGTATCCCTGTTCTAAATTTCTCGGAGATTAATCTCACACTTCAGGCGTTGATTGTAAAATTGAATTCATTTACTTAAATTCTTTTTTTTTAAAGGACTTCACATAATTTTTCCCAAAATTTTACTTTAAAATTAAGAGAGAAACGAAAGTAATTTCTTTTACGTATAATACGCTTTCTGTAAATAAATCCATTTGTAAAATCAATCCCCGTAACGAGTGGATGTAATCTTCGAAAAGCTTAGATTAAGAGTAGATAAGTATATGTTTAATTTCATTTATTACTATAAGGATAGGACATTTATAGTAATAAATGAAATTAAACATATATTTATCTACGCAACAGACAACAGGAAAGACGCAGATCAGAGTTAAAAGATATTTTCAAAATAAAATCACACATAATTAAACGGGGATTTCGGTTTACTCTGAGAAAATAGTTTCAACGGGAAGCCCTCTAAACAAAAACAACAATATTCCTCGGAAGAGTAAGTCTCACTTCTTTGCTCATTCCTCGTCTCATTGAAAAACGACCCAGGCATGTCCGAAAATTCCGGCATTAAAATCTTTCTCTTCGTGATTCAATTTAGTCAAAAGGCTAATATATAATAAATGCCAACAACTTTATTGCCAATATTGTTATCCTTTTGTTTGTTTTTTTTCTATTCCTAAAATTTCATTATCGGGCCTCTTAAATCTACAAACATACATATATATATATTATTTTAAAATTATTTTAACTTAGTATAAATATAACGAAAATGAGAAAAACAGTCGTCATTTGCTGAAACCTCCTGATAAGTGGACCAGTCGATTACAAAAAGCTTCGTCT